GGTTGACTGCATCTATCTGAACCTAAAAAAAGGCTTTCGACAGAGTTCCACATAAGAGGTTGTTCTGGAAACTGGAAAATATTGGAGGAGTGACAGGTAAACTTGGATGAAAAATTTTCTGACTGATAGAAAGATGCAGTATCCACTCAATTTAACGGCCTCTTTTATACCGATCTGCCGGTAATAACGACCGGTTTGGGAGACCGATATCTGGAGCCTCATATACTGGTCTGGCGGTCGATATAACCATAGGTCAGAATCGGCTTTGTTTTGGTATCAGCGGCCCCTCACATGGCAACAGGCCACCGACCTCCAAGGCATTGAGTTAAGGATGGGAGGCAGTAATTGATGGGGGGGGGGGGGGAGAGACATGGAGGGGGAGAGGCAGGGAGAGTGATGGTGGTGGTGGTGAGGGAGAGTGATGGTGGTGGTGAAGGAGAGTGATGGTGGTGGTGAAGGAGAGTGATGGTGGTGGTGAAGGAGAGTGATGGTGGTGGTGGTGAGGGAGAGCGATGGTGGTGGTGGTGGTGGTGAGGGGGAGTGATGGTGGTGGTGGTGAGGGAGAGTGATGGTGGTGGTGGTGAGGGAGAGTGATGGTGGTGGTGGTGAGGGAGAGTGATGGTGGTGGTGGTTAGGGAGAGTGATGGTGGTGGTGGTTAGGGAGAGTGATGGTGGTGGTGGTTAGGGAGAGTGATGGTGGTGGTGGTTAGGGAGAGTGATGGTGGTGGTGGTTAGGGAGAGTGATGGTGGTGGTGGTTAGGGAGAGTGATGGTGGTGGTGGTGAGGGAGAGTGATGGTGGTGGTGGTGAGGGAGAGTGATGGTGGTGGTGGTGAGGGAGAGTGATGGTGGTGGTGGTGAGGGAGAGAGATGGTGGTGGTGGTGGTGAGGGAGAGAGATGGTGGTGGTGGTGGTGAGGGAGAGAGATGGTGGTGGTGGTGGTGAGGGAGAGAGATGGTGGTGGTGGTGGTGGTGGCGAGGAAGAGAGATGGTGGTGGTGGTGGTGGTGAGGAAGAGAGATGGTGGTGGTGGTGAGGAAGAGAGATGGTGGTGGTGGTGGTGGTGAGGAAGAGAGATGGTGGTGGTGGTGAGGAAGAGAGATGGTGGTGGTGGTGAGGAAGAGAGATGGTGGTGGTGGTGAGGAAGAGAGATGGTGGTGGTGGTGAGGAAGAGAGATGGTGGTGGTGGTGAGGAAGAGAGATGGTGGTGGTGGTGAGGAAGAGAGATGGTGGTGGTGGTGAGGAAGAGAGATGGTGGTGGTGGTGAGGAAGAGAGATGGTGGTGGTGGTGAGGAAGAGAGATGGTGGTGGTGGTGGTGGTGAGGAAGAGATGGTGGTGGTGGTGAGGAAGAGAGATGGTGGTGGTGGTGAGGAAGAGAGATGGTGGTGGTGGTGAGGAAGAGAGATGGTGGTGGTGGTGAGGAAGAGAGATGGTGGTGGTGGTGAGGAAGAGAGATGGTGGTGGTGGTGAGGAAGAGAGATGGTGGTGGTGGTGAGGAAGAGAGATGGTGGTGGTGGTGAGGAAGAGAGATGGTGGTGGTGGTGAGGAAGAGAGATGGTGGTGGTGGTGAGGAAGAGAGATGGTGGTGGTGGTGAGGAAGAGAGATGGTGGTGGTGGTGAGGAAGAGAGATGGTGGTGGTGGTGAGGAAGAGAGATGGTGGTGGTGGTGGTGAGGGAGTGTGATGGTGGTGGTGGTGGTGAGGAAGAGAGATGGTGGTGGTGGTGGTGGTGGTGAGGGAGTGTGATGGTGGTGGTGGTGGTGAGGAAGAGAGATGGTGGTGGTGAGGGAGTGTGATGGTGGTGGTGGTTAGGGAGAGTGATGGTGGTGGTGGTTAGGGAGAGTGATGGTGGTGGTGGTTAGGGAGAGTGATGGTGGTGGTGGTTAGGGAGAGTGATGGTGGTGGTGGTTAGGGAGAGTGATGGTGGTGGTGGTTAGGGAGAGTGATGGTGGTGGTGGTTAGGGAGAGTGATGGTGGTGGTGGTGAGGGAGAGTGATGGTGGTGGTGGTGAGGGAGAGTGATGGTGGTGGTGGTGAGGGAGAGAGATGGTGGTGGTGGTGGTGAGGGAGAGAGATGGTGGTGGTGGTGGTGAGGGAGGGAGATGGTGGTGGTGGTGGTGAGGGAGAGAGATGGTGGTGGTGGTGGTGAGGGAGAGAGATGGTGGTGGTGGTGGTGGTGGCGAGGAAGAGAGATGGTGGTGGTGGTGGTGGTGAGGAAGAGAGATGGTGGTGGTGGTGAGGATGAGAGATGGTGGTGGTGGTGGTGGTGAGGTAGAGAGATGGTGGTGGTGGTGAGGAAGAGAGATGGTGGTGGTGGTGAGGAAGAGAGATGGTGGTGGTGGTGAGGAAGAGAGATGGTGGTGGTGGTGAGGAAGAGAGATGGTGGTGGTGGTGAGGAAGAGAGATGGTGGTGGTGGTGAGGAAGAGAGATGGTGGTGGTGGTGAGGAAGAGAGATGGTGGTGGTGGTGAGGAAGAGAGATGGTGGTGGTGGTGGTGGTGAGGAAGAGGATGGTGGTGGTGGTGAGGAAGAGATGGTGGTGGTGGTGAGGAAGAGAGATGGTGGTGGTGGTGAGGAAGAGAGATGGTGGTGGTGGTGAGGAAGAGAGATGGTGGTGGTGGTGAGGAAGAGAGATGGTGGTGGTGGTGAGGAAGAGAGATGGTGGTGGTGGTGAGGAAGAGAGATGGTGGTGGTGGTGAGGAAGAGAGATGGTGGTGGTGGTGAGGAAGAGAGATGGTGGTGGTGGTGAGGAAGAGAGATGGTGGTGGTGGTGAGGAAGAGAGATGGTGGTGGTGGTGAGGAAGAGAGATGGTGGTGGTGGTGAGGAAGAGAGATGGTGGTGGTGGTGAGGAAGAGAGATGGTGGTGGTGGTGAGGAAGAGAGATGGTGGTGGTGGTGAGGAAGAGAGATGGTGGTGGTGGTGGTGAGGAAGAGAGATGGTGGTGGTGGTGGTGAGGGAGTGTGATGGTGGTGGTGGTGGTGAGGAAGAGAGATGGTGGTGGTGGTGGTGGTGGTGAGGGAGTGTGATGGTGGTGGTGGTGGTGAGGAAGAGAGATGGTGGTGGTGAGGGAGTGTGATGGTGGTGGTGGTGGTGAGGAAGAGAGATGGTGGTGGTGGTGAGGGCTTGTTTGCATTTGTGTTGCTCACGTGGCCCCACAAAGTGAAGTGATTTGATGAAATAACTATGCCCAAGATTACCACCAAGTACCATCGGGACGGTGAAATAGTTTCGGCTAAAATCGTCTTTTGTACGGTCACGGATGGTCAAGTGGTTAACCCTTGTGTTACTCAGGGCTAATTAGTATTTGTCACCCACAGGTGCATACAAAAAAAAAATTTTCTTCTAAACCTGTTAATTTGTGTTCTCTGATCGTGGGAAAAATAATAAAAAAACCGTAAGTGGCATATATTGCCCGGTATAGGGCGGGAAAGTCTGGCAAAAAACAGGCGCCGACTCGGCATGCGTCCGAGACGGTCTGTTGCTGTCAGGCAGGAGTGGCCACAAAGCAATAATTACCTAATTATGTCAATGTCTCTGATTGATTTTTTGTAGTTTTTTGTTGTAATACTATTCAATAGTGTGTAGTGTGATATATTTATATAATAAAATGAGTGAATCATCGCTGTACTCAAAATTATGGTGTGCATATTGTTGATTCAATTATGTTCATCAGTGAACAAATACTTTGTTGGTTATTACACTATAAACACAGGTTATATATAAGTATCTGCATATTTTGTTCACCATAACGAACCACTAAGTTGGTATTATGAGTCAAAAAGCAACGAGGATTGACCGCCACACACCAGCCAGCCACTCACTCCCTCAACACCTCACTCACCCACATTCTCCTCCCACCATACTGTTTTTGCTTTTATTCACTATATACAGACGTGATATATAAGTATCTACATTCGTATTCACCATAACAAACCACTAAGTTGGTATGCTGTGGCAGTGGCAGCCCGCCACTGGCTGCCACTTCCTCCCTCTCTCAACTCACCTGACTCACCCACATTCTCCTCCCACAATACTGCTTTTGCTTTTATTCACTATATACAGACATTATATATAAGTATCTACATGTTTTGTTCACCACAACTGTACAACTAAGTTGATATAGTTCAGGCACTAAGAGATGTCGCTATATACAGTCAGCTGGCGGCTGCCTCCCTCACACATTCAAGGTCAGACGCACTAAAATTTCACCCCCAACAATACTGTTTGTGGTGCTATTATCCTATATACAGACGTTATATATAAGTATCTACATGTTTTGTTCACCATAACTGTTCAACTAAGCCAGTATAATGCCCAAAGAGCATAGTGGCCACCCCTACCAACATGACAAATCATGCAGATGTTACCACCCCCATCACCAAAATGGCTTCTCCCCCACACTCCTTTTGCTGTTAGTACACTGTATATACCCACTATATATAAGTATCTATATTTGTGTTCACCATAATGAACCACTAAGTTGGTATGCTGAGTGGCAGTGGCAGCCAGTGCCAGCCCACCACTGGCTGCCACTGAGGACCTCACACCCGGGAATGTGGCCCATGATTTTTTTTTTTTTTTTTAAATGGCATCTGTTTACAAGAGCCCTGATGAAGGCGAGGTGAACCCCGTGTATCCACCGGCCGTTTAAATCTTGTGTAGTAATCCAACACGTCATATGACGTGATGCGCAATTCATAGCAAGTTACTCAACACGTCATATGACGTGTTGCGCAGTTTAAGGGTTAATGATAATAGAAGCTTTTAACTTTGTTTAACTTTCTTGACTTTACATTAAATTGTCACATACAAAAAATGCCGCCAACATTTCATTACATGGCCAACTTCACTTGACAGTATTAAGTGCAACAGGCACAATTAGACATACGTACTGAGAAAATAATAAAACCTGTAAACAAATTACTTATTCCTATGATGTACTCTTCCATGAAGAGTTTAAAATCTTCACTGTTATATTTTGTCTTCTTTTACATAACAATTTAGGTGGTGTAGTAGAGTGCTGGTGTATAGTGAGAGAGGAACGCCATACCAATGTGTTGGTTAGCCAAGGTCGTGACCTCCTCCTGCTGAATCACATAGAGCTGCGCCCTCAGGCCTTGGTAAGTAAATTTTTTTTTTCACGATTAGGAAGATGTCTAGTATTTTTTGTGTGAATCCTCATTTATATATACTTTTGCAAGTCTTGTAACATTTGTACATAAAATCTGTTGGAGGCCAATTTAAACACCAGTTAGTAAAACTGAGGCTTGGAGCTCTAATTGTTATAAGATGACCTTTCCAAAAGTCAGTATGTTTAACCTTTGTACACATAATGGTACTACCAGTTTATTAATATATTTATTTAAAATAGAAGCTAATTTTTTTTTACACTTCTTCATGCCTGAGGTGCCATAATTGTAAATACCAGTACTCCACTCATAGCATAGGACACGTGGTTGCCTCCTGGGGCAATATCACACACCCACCTCCCCTACTCTCACAATGACCATCAGAAGGGACATACCACTACTCTGAGTAATCTCCACCAATCTATAATTCAAAATGCTGCCTATTATTGCATTGCAAACTGTACCTAACAACCAATAGCTAGTTGCCTGCCTGACAACCACCACCACCCATCACCAAGTAGTACAACAGGAGACATCTCCCGTCACGCAGGGTGCAGTTGCACCTCCACAGATCTCCAGTATCAGCTCTTGATACTGGTGATGGCTCAAAAGGGCCACCACTTACGAGCTATTTCATGCCCCTGCCACCTTTTGGGTGGCTTCATCTTCATCTTAACACATTCACACGGGAGACATCTCCCGTCATGCAGGGTGCATTCGCACCTCCACAGATCTCCAGTATCATCAATTGATACTGGTGATGGCTCAAAAGGGCCTCCACTTACGAGCTATTCATGCCCATGCCACCTTTTGGGTGGCTTAATCTTCATCAATCAATCAATCAATCACCAAGTAGTAGCACAAGCTGGGTAAACTGTCAACTGGCTCTCTCTCCTCACTGTCTCAGTTTTATCCCAGAGACCACCACATTGCTTTGAGAAAAGGATCTCTTGTTTAAGTTATGTGACAGCTAATTCATCTTGAATGTTTGGTCTCTTGTCAGGTGCTTTATTGAACATTTCCTGTTTAATTACTCAAGTGTAGTTACAGGATGAGAGCTTTGGATGTGGTGTCATGGTGAGGTGTTTATGAGGCTTTGAACCTACTCACAGTTTTGGCACCTGTCGCTTAACTTATTCCAACCCTCTACCTCTCTGTGAAAGTGTGGTAAATGGAGAGACATCTTCCTATCATTCCTCCTATATGTTCCAATTTCCAGAACAACCTCTTATGTGGGACTGTAATTAGCCTTTTCTGGGGGGAGCCCCTTCGGCTCCCAGGAGCTTATCCAGGCTGGTATGCTAATGTCAGACTTTGGCATCAGTCATGTGTATGGAGTTCTGTGGGCCTACTGAGGACCACGAGCCAGAACCTGGCCCCTTCAGAGAGGCATGGGGAGCAATGACCTATAGAAACCCCCGTGTGGTTGGAAGCATTAGGCACCCAGAAAAGTAAACGTCCCAAAACAAATCCCTATTCTGGTGAAAATTGCTACCAAGAGCCAAACAAGTGGATAGAACTCCCCAAAAAGAAACGAGCAAATAAGCATGACGTCACACATTGCTACGGCGTTGTCTGCGCAGCTCCCCCATCCCTGGGAGGGGGAAGGGGGAGCCCCAGACCCCCGCCCGGCTATCCACCCTTCAGTTCTGAGGCTGATGCTATAGGCAACGGTCGTGTGCTCTGGCTCCAGTGGGTTGTTTCAGCACTGTACCTAGTGTGTGGTGGCTCTTCTAGGTGGTGCGTGAGCCGGGAGTGATTCTCCAATACTCGGGCTGCATGTGCCCAGTGTTTCTTTCCCTAGGTGCCCTGTAAGTTACTGCCTTGGGGCTTGGGGTTACCTTCCCCAAGTTCCTTGGATTCTGCCTCTGCTAGGCTATTTACTGCTTGGTTTTCGGCCACCCTTTGTGTGCTGGGGTGTTCTGTTTCCTTTGTTCGCCTTTGGGGGGGGGGGCAGTTTTGCACTGGCTGTGGCGCAGGGTACTGCGCAGGTTGTTTTCACCAATCATAGCGGCCGGCTCTGTTCCGCCTGGGTACGCTGTCCTCTTGCAGGGTTTTCCTTTTCTTTTTGTTTATCTGCCTGGTGGTGGGTCTGCCTTGATTCTTTCCCCCCCCCCCCTCTCCATACATGTTTTTGGGAGTCGGCCCCTCCCCGGGATCGGTTCCTTGTCCCTTGGAACCGTCGGGCCCGTCCTGTCGTTTCTCCACCCTTTTTCTTGGGACAGGCCTTCACTGTCATGTTTCCCTCTTCTCGGGGTTCTGCATGACTTTTGGTTTCGAGTGCAACTTTGGCTTCTGTTCCTTCGTGCTTCACGCTTGCTTCCTTATGTTCTAGAAGGATCGGGAAGGTTTTGCTTCTTCCCGTATTATTGGAATGTCTGTCGTCTTCCGGTCCTTTATGGGGCTTGTTGGTCCTTCTCCGAGCATCTCGGTTTTCGGTCCTGTTTCATTCTTTCATGTTTGTTTCTTCTCTCCGTGCACTGTCCTGCACTGCACAGGGTTGCCAGATTGGGCTCCTTGTAGCCCAAATGGGAAGCTGTGCTATGTTTATTTTCGGTCCTTAATGCTCTTTTTCTTTCTAGTCACATTTATGGTTTCTTTCTTCAGCTCGCGACTTCTAGCAACCTTCATTTGGCATCCCTGCTGCTCATGCGCCGTGGTTGTTTGTTTTGATATGGGTGGTGTGCACGTGTGCTGGAGTTCTGCGTTCTTTTTCTCTTGGGTGCTTTGCCTCTCGCTCCTCTCAATTATCCAGTCCGTGCCCAGTAGCACCTGGGGGGTGTTCTGGATTGCTGCTATGGGGAGGACGCTGGGTTTTTCCTGCGTATGGGTGTGGGGCTCCTCCTTCGCCTCTACCCCTACTCTTCTGCATTTGCGGCTCTGCCTTCCACTGACGGTCCTTCCAAAATCTTCTCGGCTACTCTGTCGTTACACGTTCGTGCCTACGTTCTACATGTGAGTTTGTGGTCTGGCATCTCTTTCTGCCAGGCGCTGGTTTGTGGTTTTTGGATACAAATATAAGAAAATCAGAACACAGGTGCCTGCAGCAGGCCTCTTGGGCCATACGAGGCTGCTCCTGTTTATACCCATCCAGTCCCACTCTTATGCATGTCCAACCCATGCTTGAGTCCAGCTAGGGACCCCACCTCCACCAGGTTACAAGGTACAATGGTAAGGGTATATGTTATGGGGTAAGTGTTACTGTCAGGATGTTCTGAGGTGCCATTTTGCTGCAGTTTTCATACTGTGGATGCGTGTTGGGAATTGGTTGTGGTGTTTTGTTTGGCCCTTCCGTGCTTCTTCCTGGGGCCTTCCTTGTTCATCTGGGTTCATGGTTGCAAGGGGGGTCACAGCCTCGTTTTTCATGGTCTTATCTGGGTCACTCATTCCTTTCCTGTCTTGCAGTGCCTGGCTTCGCCCTTCCATGTACATTGGATTCTCTGTACAATACTTACCTAGTACTGTGTTGTTGGCGTGGCAACACACATGTCCAGCGGTTCTGTGTGGTGTTGGTTGTGTCCCTTTCATTCCCGTTTGCTACTTGCTTTCTTCGTTCCTCATCTTCCTTCTACGCTCTTGTCCCTGGCCGCTGGTGCTGGGTCTTTTCTTCTGGTCTTTTTCTTGTGTTTTCTGTTTTCTCATTTTATCCTACACATGGTTGTGTTTTGTTTGTGCCTTTTGGCTCTCCTATTGCCAGGTTTGGGTTCCATCTCCTTCTTTGCCGGCTTGGGTTTCCAGCTCTGCTGGCTCCGTGGTCGCTCCCGAGATCTTCCCGCAGCTCCACCTCTTCCTAGGCTCGATAGGCCATGGCGGGGCTTGTTTGGTTCTGCCTCGAGTCTCTCACTTTCTGTTGGTGGTCGGGTGGCTTTGTTGATGGGTGTCCCACCTACGTGCTGCTTCTTGGCGGCAGTGTGAGGTTTTTTGGCGTTCCTTCCTTTTCCTTCTGTCCCTTTTTAGGTAGCTGCGTTTGTTGGCGTGGTCTTGTCCTTCTCTTGTGGAGGTTTGGGGCCGTCTTCTTGCCCCATACTGTTGACTTGTATCATGTGGTGCTGGCGAAACCGCTTCAGCTTGCTTTCGGTATTGATGTTATGTCTGCTGTTTCACAAGCTGTCTCATGCGTCGTTTGACCTCCGTCCTGCTCATGTGCCGCCTGAGCTGTCCTGGTCATTGGACAGAGTGCTCTCTCTTCTTTCTTCTCCATTGTTTGTTGTGGCCCCTTCGGTTCAGGATTCTTTTTGAGGACTGGGAGGCTCTTTTCTGTTGGCATTGGCCTCTAGGGGTCGGGTCGGTGAGCTTCATGTTCTCCTCCGGCGCAGGGGTTTTCTGCTCCTTCGGTCGTGGCGGTAGGTTTGTTCGTCTGCAGCCGTCTTCTACTTTTCTGGCAAAGAATGAGATTGTGCTTTCCGGAGGGGTTCTTCGGTTGTTGATGCTTGGCTGGTCGGGCCGGGGGTATATCATGTTTTGTGTCCGGTTGCGGTCCTCTACCGTTATTTGCACGCCACAGCCTCTGTGTCCGGGGGCACGCTTTGGGTTAATCCGGTTTCTCTTCTTCCCTGTTCGTGGGTTTGGGTCTCCCAGGTCTTCCGCAAGGTTGTTAAGGCAAGCCAGCCTGCGGTCTATCTCCGTGCCCATGAAGTTTCCTAGTTCGCTGCTCTTGCTGCAGTTTTTGGAAACATGTCCTGGGCTGACATTTGGGCGCGGGGATTTTGGCGGTCAAACAGGGTCCTGGCTGCGTGTTATTTTGTGAACATTCCTGAGCCTAGTCGGGCCTGTGTTGCTTTGGGTCGGCGGTTGCAGCCAGTTGTCTCGGCTTTGAGTTGAGGAGTGAGCGGCGACCGCCTCCAGGGTAAGTCGTTTTACTTTTCCTCTGTGGATAGTTAGCTCCGGGGAGCTGAAGGTCCTCCCCCCAGAAAACCAGCGTTGAATGTAATGAAACGTCATTTTCTGGGTGAGACCCGGAGGCTCCCTGGCAGCCCTCCCTCCTCCGGTCGGTGTGTTTTTGCGTGTTTTAACATCCAGCCTCAGAACTGAAGGGTGGATAGCCAGGTGGTGGTCTGGGGCTCCCCCCCTTCCCCCTCCCTGGGAGGGGGGGGGGAGCTGTGCAGACAGCGGCGCCGCGACGTGACGTCATGCTCGTTTGCTCGTTTCTTTTTGGGGAGTTCTATCCACTTGTTCGGCTTTTGGTATCAATTTTCACCAGAATAGGGGTTTGTTTTGGGATGCTTACCTCTCTGGGTGCCTGACTCGGTCGATGGCAGACATAGAATGCTTCCAACCACACGGGGGGTTTCTATAGGCCATTGCTTCCCATGCCTCTCTGAGGGGGCCAGGTTCTGGCTCGAGGTCCCCGGTAGGCCCATAGAACTCCATACACATGACTGATGCCAAAGTCTGACAATAGCATATCAGCCTGGATAAGCTCCGGGGAGCCTCCGGGTCACACCCAGAAAATGGTGTTTCATTACAGTCAACGCTGGTTTTTTATGTACAGATAATTGTATTCAACCCAATCATCCCTTTCATGCAAAATCTCTCTCATATAAATTAAGTAAATTTGTTTCACAGAATCTTCCTATTTGAAGGCCATACTGTCTGTTAGTATATCATTTTTCTCCAGGTGTTCTACCCATTTGGTTTTAATAATTTTTTCAAGTGTTTTAGCTACCACGCTTGTCAACAATACAGGACTATAAGTCTTCTCTACCAACATTTTTGTAGATTGGAACTATGTTTTCCATTTTCCATAGCTACTAATATTCCTGCACACAGATGTCTGAAAAATAATTTTTTGTGGAATGCTCAGCTCAGATGTGCATTCTCTCAGAACCCAAGGTGAAACGTCATCTTGACCAACTGTTTTGTTTACACGTAGCTCCTTGAGTTTTTTTTCTCACTTCATCTTGAGATACCTCGTTGTACTCTATGATGTTTTCTGAATTTGGCATTGCATAAGGTTTTAGTGGAATGAAAAACCAGCTCATTTTTCACAAACTCGCTTTGGAACTGTTCATTTAGTTAATTTAGTGTTTCACACATTTCATTTTCATTTTCTCTGACAATGGTCCCCCATTTTGAACCTCTGGATTTTATCCTTTATTTGCAATTTTGTTTTTACTGAATTTATAGAATAGGCCTGGTTTTTTTTACTTTTGTCTGCTATCCCTTTTCAAAATTTCTTTCTGCCCCACTTCTCACTGTTGAGTAGTTGTTTCTTGCTTGTTTGTACTGCTGATATGTTTGAGCATTTGGCCTCTTCCTATAATGATTCCATATTTGGTCATTTTGTTATCTCGTTCTCTCACAATTTGTTGAACCAATTCTATTTTCTAGTTCTACATCTTGGTATAAATCTTGTTGTACATTCATCATATATATCTCACTATTTGGCATACATCTTGTTTCCTGGTCCAACAACAATTCTTCCCAATCAGATTCATTAAAGAACTTAAGTTCCCCATAGTGTCCTCTCTTGAAATAGTTTTCCATTATTTCCCTTTCTCCAATCTCTTATAGAATATAACTTACTGCACCTCTTTTTTCTCAATTTTTTTTTTCCTCTTCTGCTGCTCTGCCCACCCTAGGTGGTATCTCCTTTTCCAAATAGCCAAACATTATTATAGTCATTTTATCTACAATGTTCTGTGCTGATTTACTGCTGGTAAGCAGTTCTTTCCTAATTGCCTGTCTGATGTCAGTTCTTGACTGTACATTTCTATTTTTGACTTCCAAACATGCATGTTTCTTTCATTTCCTCTTTGCACTTTTCCAAGTCTTTGATAACCACTATTTGAGTTACCCACAAATTTTATCATATAAAATCCTTGCCTAATTCTGTATAGATTATCTTGGTTCTTGTTTACTTTCTTAAAATATGTTCTCCATTTTCCATGTCTCATTCTTTTTCACTAGTTTCTTTATTTGTCCTTCCTCTCTCCTTACTTTATCTGTAAAGCTGGCAACTTCCTGTTCTTTCTGCAAAATGCTTCCTAGTAAAAGGAAGTTTACTTCTAAGTAAAGTTTTACTTCTAAGTAAATTTTACTTCTAAGGTCTTCATTTTCTTTCTCTAATATTGGAAGTTTTCCTTTATGACTATTTAGCAGATCCTCAACCTTCACTAACCTACCCATAAAACTTTCATTCCCTATTTCTTCCTCAGTGAAGCCCTTGAAATTTTTCTCCTGACAGTTCAGTACCCGGTCGGCCGAGCAGACAGCACATTGGACTTGTGATCCTGTGGTCCCGGGTTCGATCCCGGGCGCCGGCGAGAAACAATGGGCACAGTTTTTCACCATATGCTCCTGTTACCTAGCAGTAAAATAGGTACCTGGGTGTTAGTCAGCTGTCACGGGCTGCTTCCTGGGAGTGGAGGCCTGGTCGAGGACCAGGCTGCGGGGAGACTAAAAGCCCCGAAATCATCTCAAGATAACCTCAAGATAACCCTCACAGTGGCCAGTTTGTTTCCAATTCTCATCTGCTTCTGTGTGATAGACCTTGCTTATATATTTTCTCAAATTTGTGTATTTTTTCAATGATTTTCACTCTGCAACTTCTATAATTGATCTTGGTATGATTATGATAACTGGGGACACACTTGTGAACCTCTCCTTTACACTACCACCTAGCTAATGATCAGTTAATTCTTCAGCTCACTGCGACCTTTGTGAGTGCTTAGCACCATGTTATTGGACTAGTGCATCTTCTTGATTTTCAGGCATTGATCATCTTGCAGATTCACATTATCAGTTTCAGATGTTCCCGCTGTAAGGGGCAAGTGTGACCCCATTTGATATTGAGGTCAACTGATTCATACCTAAACTATCATGCTTAGATAATACTCAAAAGTTGTAAATTAGCTACACTTCATAAAAATAATTTATTACATAGTTATGGTGTTGTATCGTACAGTACCCGGAATGGAATGAGGCTGGTGGCTGCATTGTGGAAATGGCCGTGTCTACAAATTCTCGTCACATTGCCCTGCTGTCTGACTGTGGCAAGTTGTGGATTGGTTCTTCAGATATCCGGATTAAATATTGTGAATATGATGCCAAGAGTCAAGTTAAGCCTAAACAACTTGCATGGTGAGAATTGTTTATTTTTGTATTTTTATAACTATTTTAGTGAAGCTTCTGATTCTTCTGTTCTGTCTTTCTCAAGTTTGTCCAATAATGTACAAGATTATTTGAATGCAGCTTGCAACATCCTAGATTAAGACATTACTCCGTATTTTCCATTCCTCTCAGTCCTAGGGGAGAATATATAACACTGCATCTGAATGCAGACGATGAGTCACAATAACGTGGCTAAAGTACGTTGACCAGACCACACACTAGAAGGTGAAGGGATGATGACGTTTCGGTCCATCCTGGACCATTCTCAAGTCGAATGACCATTCCTGGACCATTCTCATTGACTTGAGAATGGTCCAGGACGGACCGAAAGTCGTCATCCCTTCACCTACTAGTGTGTGGTCTGGTCAACACTGCATCTGAACAAATGCAGCAACCTAATTGTTTATTCACTTGAAACTAGCATTTACGAGTGGCTTAAAATATGAGCATACTTTTATGTATGTACTGTACCTATATTTTCAAAATATGCTTTTGTATTGTGCAGAACAAAGTGTGAAAGATAAACATAATTTGCTTGAAAATGACCCGAATTTATTAAGGGAATTTGTTATCTTAATTTATTGATGGTACTAGATACTAAAAACAAATTTAAATTATGAGTTATTTTAAGATTTCCCCCTTTTGGTGTGCTTGTACAGCCACAACAGAGGGGGTTGCTTCCTTCATTCCTGTCCCCAACAGTTGGAATTGTAAAAAAGTTACCAATGAACAGTCTGATCATCTCAAGACCAACAACAGTTAAGCAAGGGGTTTTAGTCGAATACATATAGGGTTTAACGCAAGAGGGTTTAACCTCTTGTTCTCACAAAATAATTGCCAAAAAATGCAGCACATGTATGTATGTATACATTATCATAACCTAGTTTCTCACTTTCATTAGGTGGAAAGGCATCAGCGTGGAAAATAGCAAGCGAGTATCTAGCATAGTAAGGGTATAGATATTATATAGTAAAATACTGCATGAAAATATCTCGCGTCTATCCATTATACACAATGCAATTTAAAGCATTGCAGACAAACAAGTTCTACCATATGTTGGTAGTCATCTACAGCAGTACCCCACCACTTTATAAAACTAGACATACAGTGGTCCTCATGAATTGTCATATACATAAAGGTATGGTGTATTTATTCCCTTCATATAAGCCATTTGCTCTCATTATCCCCTACTGTATTCTTTTGACCACACTTGGTTACTGCTGCCTCATACTTAGTATCCACCACGTGACAGGGGAGTAGACAACTTTGAAAAGGACAACTATTTCATATTGAGAAAAAATACATCAAGAGGATGTAAGTGGAAGCTGGAAGAGCAAATGAGCTAAAGAGAATTGCAAAAAAAAAAGTTATTCACATTAACCACTTAACTGCGCCAACTGAGTATTCTAGGTCAGCGGGAAACTGTGCCAACCGAGAAAACTCTCTTTGATTTTTTGGTACCCATTCTAAATGTGTACGAGGTTGGTTTTTACGAAATGGACTCTTAGGATCTCCAGTGAGAAGCAACCATCTTGGAAAACATTCTCAGAATGCCCTAGGGCTGCTGGCTGGGTTAGTTTTGAGTGAGCAACCATGGGTGGCGCACACGCCTCTGGCTCCCAAACACCTGTCCGATGCGGTGTTGAAAGATGTCGGTGAAATTCAAACCTTATTGTTTGAAGAACATAAGGGTCATAATATTGGTGAAGCTAGGCACAATAAGGACCTAACACAGGTCAGATGCAAGTTATACAGCACCTAAGTGGACGATACAGCGAGCGTATCCAGTTGTAGCTCTGAGCGTCAACCCTTGCAATCCTATGCTATCTCCAATTTATTTAGATGATACATAGATGAATCATTTTCTGCGTTCAGTGATGATGCATCTGATACAAGTAGCATAGATGAACAGTGTTAGCGGCATCCATGGTGGTGTTTTCCATAAATATTTTCAAGAATACCTGAATCTCTTCCTGACTGACAGACACTCTTTGAGGCTAGCTGAATCTCTTCCTGTGTGGGACTATACAAAGCGATCTTTTCAAGACTACCTTACAAATTTATCTTTTACTATAATCTTTTCAAGACTACCTTATGCTTTACAAGCTTGGCTATATACACCCTACAAGTACTAAAGCCAAGGGTGTACGTGAGTGCGTTATTTGCAAGCACACAGAATGAAGAAACAGGAAGCGAAAATTTATCTGTACAGTACCTGGTGCACTGAGAGCGAAGTCACGCTGTGTACCATGGGCTACTTCGTTGATTATTACTCACTTCCGAAGTACTGAGTGTGTAATACAGTGTGTTGCTGTGTAAATAGTGTGTGAAACTGTACATATTGTAATTTTAGTGAATTTTTAACCCTTAAACTGTGCATGGCATATATATATGCCACGAGTAACATGTCCCACGGTGCGCATGGGGTATATATACGCCATAGGGTGCCAGGCACGATTCAAATGGCCCGCGGCTACATGGGGTTCACATTAGCTTCCTCAGGGCTCTTGTAAACAGACGCCTTTTTTTTTTTTTAAATCGTGGGCAATATTCTCAAGTGTGAGAGCCACAGTACTGTTGGAGCAACCAAGGCTGGCGCACGCAGCATGAGCGAACAGCATTGCTGTTCAGCTTGTGATCACAGCATCGCCGAAAAATGTCAAAATAAATATATAACTGCTATTATTTAGCGATGACAATATTACAGATGACTCCTGACTGTGATAAAAATAAGCAGGGTTGTGATAATAGTAGGATTGTTGTAATAATTAGCGCTGTCGGAAGAGTGATGCTGAGGGACGGAGGGAGATTGCATCGTTTACTGACTGTGTGGTCACCTGTTATTGTTTGCATTCACCATACTAGCTCAGTGGTTCTCTATGGTGAACACACTTGTAGATACTGTGCTTATATATAATGTGTGTATTAGTGTAATAACAGCAAAAGGATTATGCTGGGAGGGGACCCATTTGGGTGACGGAGGTGACGTCGTCTGCATGATTTGTCTGGCTGTGTAGAGGGTGGCCACTATGCTCTTTGGGCACTCTACAAGCTTAGGTGTACAGTTACAGTGCATACAACATGTAGATACTTATATATAATATGTGTATATTGTGTAATAACACTGCAAACAGTGTTGTTGGGGGGAAAAAGTTTAGTGCGTGTGACCTTGAATGAGTGAGGGAGCTGCCAGCTGACTGTGTATGTAGGGACGACTCTTAGTGCCTAAACTAACTATATCAGCTTAGTTGTACAGTTGTGGTGAACAAAACATATACATACTTATATATAATGTCTATATATATATATAGTGTAATAGCACTGCAAACAGTATTGTAGGGGAAGAAATTTTAGTGCGTGTGAACTTGAATGAGTGCGGGAGGCAGCCACCAGCTGACTGTGTGTAGTGACGTCTCTTAGTGCCTGACGAATTATGTCAGCTTAGTTGTACAGTTGTGGTGAACAAAACATATACATACTTATATATAATGTCTGTGTATAGTGTAATAACACTACAAACAGTATTGTTGGGGGAAAAAGTTTACTGCGTGTGACCTTGAATGAATGAGGGAGCCGCCAGCTGACTGTGTGTGTAGCGACGACTCTTAGTGCCTGAACTAACTATATCAGCTTAGTTGTACAGTTATGGTGAACAAAATGTGTAGATACTTATATGTAACGTCTGTATATTGTGAATAAAATATAAAACAGGATGGTGGGAGGAGAAAGTGGGCGACGGAGGCATTGTTGAAGAAGTGGCAACGAGTGGCTGGCTGGTGTGTGGCGGTCACTCCTCGTTGCTTTTCGACTCTCAACACCAACTTAGTGGTTCGTTATGGTGAACAAAACATGCAACTTGTATATAACCTGTTTATAGAGTGTAATAACAGCAAAACTATTTGTTTGTTTTATGAACATAATAATTGAATCACTAATATGCACACCATACTTTTGAGTATAGCAATTATTCACCACTTTTATTATATAAATATATCACAATACACACTATTGAATAATATTACTTCAAAAAAAAAAAAAAACTAAGAAAAAATCAGAGACATTAAAATAATTATGTGATAATATCTTTGTGGCAACTCCCACCTGTCAGCGCGAGTGACGCTGACCAGCTCTGACGACCGCTCTGTCAACGCCCACTTTTTGCCAGACTTCCTCGGTCTATTGCGCCCAAAATATGTCACCTACGATTTATTTTTTATTTTTCCCGTGCTCAGGGAACACAAATTAACATTTTTGGAAGACAATAATTTTTTAATTTTTTTTTTTTGTGCACGGGTGTAAATCTCTTTAGGACCCCTTAGCAGCTTAAGGGTTAACAAGTAATATTGCGACAATAAACATTTATTGTGGACACATGTATCACAGTTCCATGGAACATTATGAACTTTCTACTGTATACATATTGTAAAGGACACAAATATACATCATATACAATAAAAACAAAAAAAAAAGCTACCAAAGTTAACACTTGTCTGTAGTGAGACATCACAGTCTCACTATGAATGATCTCTTGTTTTTCCTCTGTCGTCATCCTCACAACTATTTTCTTAGGTTGAACTTTACCACTGACTTTCTTGGAACCCATGGCATGATATATAATAAGTTTTTCATAAGATATGTAATATTTAATGTTCAGAAAGCAAAAAAGCACAAAAAAATGATTCTTCTCAAAGAATTCAAGCGTGGTCATTTCTAGGCGGGAGACATTGGTAAACTGAAGTGAGCCGCATGCTCGGTCGGCCCATACAGTATAAGTATGTATCAACAAACTCGAGTACCGAGTCAAATTTTTCAAAGAAATTGACCTTGAGAATTTAAAAATTTGGAAAGGGGCATTTGAAAACCGAGGTTCCACTGTACTGTATTTCAGTGAGTATGCATTTATATACAGTAACAATTAAAAAAAAGCATAACAGAAGGAAATTTAAGAGTTGTAGAGGATGGTGTTCATTATGGAATATTTATTTCCCATGAACGTTACAATGACGAGTTTATTTAAGCTCGTTACTCTTAACTTTATTGATATACAATTCTTAAGGAACATATTCCTCTTGCAGGTGTGGCACAGGTGCTGTGGTGTTGCTATGGGACATGACACTTGAAGTAGTGAGCGTTAATGGTGATGCTACAAGTTACTACCTAGATTCTACTTCACATCTTGTACAAGAGGCAGACGGAATGAGGGTATTAGGTAGCATTAGCCATGACATGCTACAGAAAGTAAGTTAACATATGAACATAGTCTTTAAATTCATTACTGACTTGACTACATAAGAATTCATCTTCATAGATGAAATTTTGTATGTACATCATTGTTCACATTTATATATAGTAACCTATTACAGCCCATGGTGTTATATATACTGTATCCACTAACAGAGTTAAGGAGTGTTAACGCACTTACCCGAATATTCATCTCTAACTTGTGGGAGGGCTCTCCCAGGGTAACTTACTGGCAAAGATACCTCCAACTTGACCTTCCCAAGGCCCAGTGATGAATCACGATAATAACTACTGTCGTCCAGAGGAATGACAGGGGTGACAGCTTCGACCTCTTCCAGCAGATCGGACCCGAGTGTCACGTGGATGGTTCAATCTTCTCCTCGAGTCTTTGCATATGGTCTTTTTGACTCGTGTTTATCATCTTTATAGTGATCAGGTAGCTTCCTTGTTAGTGTCCTACCTGTGGGTTTCATCTCGGCAGCAGTATGAAGTTCCTGGCGGTCCTTCCGGTTCTTTTTACGTCTTCATTGTTGTACTTCACTTTCTGTTAGGGTTGTGTTGTCCTTTCTCTCTTGGTTGTTTCAGGACCGTCATCTTAGGAGGCTCTCCGGCATCCCTCCCTCCCTCTGGTTGGCAGTTTTTTGTGCGTTTTGACATGCATCCTCAGAACTGATGGGTGGATAACCGGCTTGGGGGGTCTTGGGCTTCCCCTTCCTCCTCCTGGGGACGGGAAGATGCGCAGACAGCGGTGACGTCATGCTCGTTTGCTCGTTTCTTTTAGGGAAGTTCTATCCACTTGTTCGGCTTTTGTAGAAATATTTTCACCAGAATAGGGGTTTGTTTTGGGATGCTTACCTTTCTGGGTACCTGACCCTGTCGATGGCAGACATAGAATGCTTCCAACCACGCGGGGGTTTCTATAGGCCATTGCTCCCCATTCCTCTCTGAGGGGGCCAGGTTCTGGCTCGTGGTCCCTGGTAGGCCCACAGAACTCCATACACATGACTGATTCCAAAGTCTGACATTAGCATATCAGCCTAGTAAGCTCCGGGAAGCCTCTGTGTCACACCCAAAAATTGGCGTTTCATTACATTCAACGCTGGTTTTTTGCTGTTATTAAGCTGTATACGCACATTATATATAACTATCAGGATTTTTATTCACCATTATGAATCTTTGAGCAGTTGCGGTGGGTATGATAATCTTGTAACCATTGAGTCAAGCACAGCATAGCCCTACACACTTTTAGATGCTGATGGCAAAGTGTTGCCCAATATACTATACACATAGCTAACTCTAACCACAACACTGCTATTATCAGAATCCTAGTCACTAAATTTTGAATAAGAATTGTTCACTTGTTCATTTTCTAAAGTAAGATGAGGTCCCATTTCATGGTGCATATATGCATCAAACAGTGGCTGTGTACTGTGGCTATCTGCCTCATACTGTGAACATTGTCACTAGCATCAGGTAAAATGATATCTGAACCTTGTACATGGTCTTTGTCAGTGTCTTCTATGTCACTATCACTGATCAGTAATTGTAGTTATTTATTTCATCATGTAATGCTATGGGCACAAGTTGCATGGCAGTGCTGTGAGCTGCTGTTGCATGCACTATTCAAGTTTGCTGTGTTAATATTGAGGCCTCCACACCCAGGAGGGATGCCTATGAGTTTTTTCCAAGATGGTATCTGTTTACTGGAGATTTGTGGAAGCAGATGTGAGCCCCATGTACTTGCTGAAGATTTAGATCTTATATGATACTTTAATACATCCCTGATTGTGACACACAGTTGAAGGGGTAAAGTTAAGCTATGTCAGTACAGTGCTATAAAAAGCAGTGTGTATTATTCAGGTGTGAAGCAATTGGTTATATCGAACTAGAATTTTAAAATTCATATTTGTTACAGGTACCGTTAGTTGTGTCAGAGACTCTAGGCATTGGCTCCATGGCTCCAGGTGCTCTGCTTCTTGAAGCAGCCAAAGGTTATCAGGTAAGTTTAATATGATGCTGGCATTGCCATAAGATAATGCATTCACAAGCTGTTAAAATAAGTAGAGTAGGAGCCCAGGCACTTTCAGGGTTTTCTAAAATTCCGTAATTGTTATATTTGTCTTAATCGAATTAGGAAAGAAGTACACGAGCCAATGACTGTTTGGGCATGATTGAGGACTCGATGGAAGAAGCAGTCAACCAGTGCCTACAGTCTGCACAGCATGAATACTGTTCACAAGCCCAGAAGATGCTACTCAGGGTGAGACTTCTAAATTTTATATTTTGTTTTTACATAGCCCTCTTTTTTTTCTTTTTTCTTTTTTAACTGTTACGAGAATATTGTAAGGAATGAGAATCTTGTGCAAAAATGTGAAGTAAAGTAGTAATTAACCCACATGTTCTAGCAACATAAGAACAGGTAACTTCAGAATGTCTGTTTACATCCAACCACATCCACTCGTGTGTGTTTCCTTAGCTTGAATCTAAGACCATGTGTGTGTGTATACTTGCCTATTTGTGCCTGCAGGACTGAGCATTGACTCTTGGATCCTGCTTTTCTAGCTGCTGGTTGTTTAAAGCAATGACACCTTTCCTATTTTCCTGTCATATCTATTTTTAAAATGATAATATTGTCTGCTTCCACAATGTGCTCCTTTAGTTCATTCTATTTTGCCACTATAACACTAAAAGAAAACATTTGAACATCTCTGACTCATCTGAGTTTCCAGCTTCCACCCACATTCCCTTGTTCTGATGGTATTCAATGTGAACATTTCATCTATTTTCAGTTTGTCAATCCTCCTGAGTATTTTATGTTTCTATCGTTTCTATCAAGGGGCCTGATATCTGAGTGGACAGAGTCTTGGATTCGTAATCCTGAGGTTCCGGGTTCGATTCCCGGTGGAGGTGGAAACAAATGGGCAGAGTTTCTTTCACCCTGATGCCTCTGTTCGCCTAGCAGTACATAGGTACCTGGGAGTTAGACAGGTGCTACTGGCTGCTTCCTGGGGGTGTGTAACAAAAAGGTGGCCTGGTCGAGGACCAGGCCACGGGGACGCTAAGCCCCAAAATCATCTCAAGATAACGTCAAGATTGACCATGTCTCCCAGCTGCCTTCTTTTTTCTAGCATCGTCAGATTTAGCTCCTTCAATCGCTCTTCATACCCCATCCCTCGCAACTCTGGGCATGCCTCATTGCAAGTTTCTGAACCTTTTTCAGTTTCCTTATGTCTTTCAAGTGGGTCTACAAGATGGGGCAGCATCTTTCCCTTCTTATGTGCACAAGCACACTCGTGTGTACTCACCTAGTTGTGCTTGCAGAGGTTGAGCTTTGGCTCTTTGGTCCTGCCTCTCAACCATCAATCTTCTTGTAAACAGATTTGTGAGCTTCTCGAGCTCTATCATACCTACATTTGAAACTGTGTATGGAGTCTGTCTCTACCACATCACTTCCTAGTGCATTCCATTTACTAACTATTGACACTGAAAAAGTTCTTTCTAATGTGTCTGTGACTCATTTGGGTACTCAGCTTCCACCTGTTCCCCCTTGTGTGTGTACCACCCATGTTAAATAGTCCATCTTTGTCTACCCTGTCAATTCCCCTGAGAATTTTGTATGTGGTGATCATATCACCCGAGCTCTTCTGTCTTCCAGCGACGTGAGGTGCATTTCACGTAGCCTTTCCTTGTAACTCATGTCTCTTAGTTCTGGGACTAGCCTAGTGGCATACCTCTGAACTTTTTCCAGTTTCGCCTTGTGCTTGACAAGGTACGGGCTCCATGCTGAGGCCGCATACTCCAGGATTGGTCTTACATACGTGGTATACAATGTTCTGAAAGATTCCTTACAAAGGTTTCTGAAGGCAGTTCTGATGTTAGCCAGCCTCACATATGCTGCTGCTGTTATTCTTTTGATGTGGGCTTCAGGAGACAGCCTATGTGTAATTACCTACGTGTAGTTACAGGACTTGAACCACACTCATGTTGTCTGTCTTCCCTATAATCTTTGTCATAAGACACACGTGCACAATTTTGTGCTGACATGTTGAAAGTTCCACAATTCTTGTGCATGAAATGTTAATGTCTGCAAAAAATTTACTGGTATTGCAAAAATGATGCCATTGATACCAATATAGTACATCAATACATCTCTGATATCTTTTGTTAACAATTGGGACAGCTTCTCGTTTAAAAGAATTTTACATGTATGGGAAGGTGTACGTCTGTCTAGCACAGGGGGTGGCAGCTTTAACTATTACAGAAGGGGGGTCATTTGTCAGTGTTTATAGTACAATATTTGAGGTTAATGTGTTGGTATGTGAATGTTTGTAAACATGTTAACTGGGCTGGGAGATTGGAGGAAAATCTTTGAGGTAAGAATAACGAAACTTTAGGAGATTTTAATGAATATTTTAAAAGTATATAATTAACATCGTACAGAAGATGGTTTCCTAATGGATTTTAAAACCTACCTAACCTTAACTTAATTTAAACCAAACCAATGTCACCTAACCCAACGAAGTCTAATACAGCCTAATCTAAACTATACATCATAATCTAACAATATATATGGTTTTAACAGACAGGAAACGAACTTTGTCAAGTCATCTTGTGTACAATTACTTGTGTACAATTACAGTGCACCTCACTTGCTCTATTTTACTCTCATCAGTTTTTCCTTCTCAGAATTTCCCTAAACATAAGTCTTGCAGATCGTGGATGAACAGTAATTTTTTTTTTCCAGGCCGCACTCTTTGGGAAAAGCTTCATCCCTGAGATGAACCCAGAACCCTGCAAGAAAACCATATTTACTCTAAGAGTTCTTAATGCTGTGCGGGATTACAGAGTAGGTAAGTTTTCGTAAATATCACACACTTTTAACCCAAACAGCATAGAAGAGTGAGACTTATCTTCATAATCAAAGGTGAATTGTAGGGGTCTCATTTTTACAAAAATGAAATGGTGTGATGTTATACTGAAATTCAGACTGAAAAATAAGTATGTAGTTGGCTTCCAGCAAGGACCAAGCATCATGTGTATAGATATCTGAAGGTAGGGTACAGAGGCATATATCTACTTCAGTCTGTCTGGCTGATGTTGCACAAGATTTTCCTGCCTTTGTATGATGTTTTACAAGTTTCTAGCTGGCAATTGCAATTTACTTTGGCCTTGAGGAACTTCCTATTTTCCTCTGGAGGTTTTCCTTTGGATTAAACTATTTGAAGGTCTTTGGACTTGGTTTTCAAGCTTTTTACCAATGCTTCCAACATTGAAGCTTAGTCTCCTGGAACCCAGGTTGATCATGGATATCAATCTACAATATTGATGTTTCAGTAGCAGTTTGTGTCATGTTCCAGTGCATCCATCTCGTGAATCTTGAGGTGATCTTGATGATTTCGGGTCTTTAGTGTCCCAGCGGCCCGGTTCTCGACCAGGCCTCCACCCCCAGAAGCAGCCCATGACAGCTGATTAACTCCCAGGTACCTATTTACTGCTAGGTAACAGAGGCATCAGGGTGAAAGAAACTCTGCCCATTGTTTCTCACCGGTGCCCGGGATCGAACCCGGGACCACCGGATCACGCGTCCAGTGTTCTGTCCGCTCAGCCGCCGGCTCCCCTGTTGGCCCGTTCTCGCCCGTTCTCTTCAAATTCAGGCATCTCCTCACATTTTGAGTATAATTTGGCCTGGGATTATAGAACATTGGTTGTTCTAGGCAATTTTGGTTTCTGGTAAATAATGTTAAATTAAAAATACAGACTTCATTAAATCTGACCTGGTTTAGTTTACTTTAGCATTCTAGGACATCTATCTACAGTATTCCAAACAGAGCATTAGATTGGCTGGCTTCCCTCCTCACTTGTTAAATATCTGAAAACCTACTCATTAAACTCAAGGCTTGGCTGCTGTGTATCTCATGGATTAGGTTTAACCCAAGGATCTGAACTGGTATCTTGGCTTTTTTGATCATCATCTTAGAAAGCACCATATTCAGGCCACTTTGGTAATGAGATCTCCTATTTGTCATTTCCCTTTTTTTATGATGGGGGAGGTTTATCATGGTTTGGTGGTAGTTCTTCCCACAGTGATGTTAGATTTTGGTCTTAGCTCATCTTCTGTAGGGTATCCAATGTGTTATCAGATGGCTGTTATCAAATTGCTACAGAATTTGAAAGAGTGAAAAAGGCAGCTTTTCTATGTATTCACAAAATTCAATATTTCCTATTTGGATCTGTTGTGTTGGTGTGCAAAATAGCCAACTTATGTATGTGACATTTGCATTGTATGTGCTATGTCTCGACTACAGCCATTTCAGTAGAGTTCATTCTAGACGCACAATTGAGAATTTAGAGTTCGAATTCTGGGCGGAACAGAAATGGTTGGGCATATTTTCTTTCACCTTATGTCTGTTCTCCTAGCAGTAAGTAGGTACTCAGGAGTTAGTCAGCTTGTTGTTGGGTTGCATCCTGGACGGTGTCAGTAATTCGGCCTTGGGGGGAAGGGGGAACCTCGATAATAGCCAAAACAAGTATGAATACACCCTGGCTTCCAGTTCCCCCGACACAATGAATTAAAGTTATTTGGACTTGCACACTTGATGATTCTTAACCATTTTTGCAGGTTCAATCCTGCTTCCTGTTTCTGCTCACTGAGGGCCCAACTCAGTTCCTCTCCCTACCCTGCTCCTAGTGCAGAGGATTGACTTCTGGTTCTACATAAACTTACTTCCTCTGTTGATCAAGACCTATGGAGTTTCCTGGAGAGTTTGAACAGCTACCACACTGAGATAGTACCCCACACACAAGTCACATCAGTCTTAACCACTATGCTGCGCCAGCCAAGAAATCTTGTTTGCCGATAACTGCGCCAATCAAGAAAACACTTTTTTTTTATTTTTTCGTAAACAGTTGAAACGCAAGCGTGGTAGGTTGGGCACGAAATGGACTCCTGAGACCTAAAGTGAGAGGCAGCCATCTTGAAAAAAAAAAGATTTCCCTAGGGCTGCTGGCAGGATCAATTCTGAATGAGCAAACAAGGGTGGCGCACACGCCTCTGGCTCCCAAACACCTTGTCAGACGCGGTGATGAAAAATAACTTTTTTGGTGAAATCCAGACCTTATTGTTTGAAGAACATAAGGATCATGATATTGATGAAGCTGGGCACAATAAGGACTGAACACAAAGGTCAGATGCAAGTGATACAGCACCGATGAAGACAATTTAGCAAGTATCCAGCTGAAGCATTGTGCCACTTTTGCCCACCCCATGCCATCTCCAATTTTAATAGATGATACATAGATGAATCGTTTTCTGGGTTCAGATGATGCATCTGATGCAAGTAGCATAGATGAACAGTGTTAGCGGCTTCCATGGTGGTGTTTTCCATAGATCTCTTCTAGAATGGCTGAATCTCTTCTAGAATGCCTTACAAAGTAGGGCCTTGTAGGGTAATCTTTTTCAAGACTACTTTACACTTCACAAGCTTGGCTACATACCATCTACAGGTACTAAAGCCAAGGGTGTACATGAGTGTGTTACATAGAACAAAGAAACAGAAAGCAAAAATCTGTTTGTACCTGGTGCAGCGAGAGCGAAGTTGCTCTGTGTATCCACGAACCGTTTCGTTGATTATCACTCAATTCCAAAGTATTGAGTGTGTAATACAGTGTGGGAAGGGTGACCCCCAGACCCCCACACCAGGGATTCACCCATATAGATGTGATAGAGAAAATAGGTCAAATGGAGGAGTAGGTCTGTATATTAAAGAGGACCTGGTATGCACAGAGCTACTAAACTCAACTAATGAGGTGGTAGAGATACTTGGAATTAAGGTAAAAAAAATAAACCTAATTATTATTCTAATATATAAACTGCCAGATACAATGGTTGAGGAATTCATAGACCAGATGCACAAAATAGAGAACATCCTTGATAATCTAGCGAACCCAGTGCCAGATATTATCTTCCTTGGAAATTTCAATTTACCAAGTCTAAGATGGAGAATGGTAAACACAAATATCATAGCAGGGAATGACCCGGGAAATAACCAACCACAGGTCAGAGAACTTTTGAGATTCTGTGACAAATTCTCGCTCAATCAACAGATCATAGATCCAACTAGGAACGAAAACACACTAGACTTGCTATTCACAAACAATGATGAACTAATCAGAGACATTACAATCTCTGATACTACATACTCAGACCATAAGCTCATTGAAGTGCAAACTAGCATAAATAACGGTAGTAGGTCTAAGAGACCCAACAAGCGAGAAGGAATATTCAATCGATTCAATTTCAACAATAAGAGGATCGACTGGGAAAAAATAAATGTAGACCTTGAGACCTTGAAAAAATGGGAGACGGTCTTAAGCGACAAAACTCCCACACAGGAAATAAATCAACTGACAGCTGAAGCATACAAGGTCTGCCTGAAGCACGTGCCTGTGAGGAGGATCAGAAAGAGGTTCACTCTAGAAAGAGAATGCAGACGACTGTACAGGAGAAGCAAAAAAATAACGGAAATGCTTAGGCAGACACGACTATCACAAGCAAGGAAAATAAACCTAAACAGGGAGATCGAAGAAATAGAACAAACGTTGAAGCGATCATATGAGGCTGAGGAAATGGAATTGGAACAGAAAGCTATACAAGAGATAAAGAAAAATCCAAAATATTTTTTCACATATGCAAAATCAAAATAAAAAACCTCCACCAGTATTGGACCTTTAATTACAACTGAAGGTACGTACACAGAGGACAACAAAGAAATTAGTGAAATTCTAAGAAGCCAGTATGAGGCTATGTTTAGCACACCAATAAACAACATGAAAGTTGATGACCCAGACAGCTTCTTTATGAATGACATTCAAGCTGCAGATAATATAACAAATATTAACACGAACTCGGAAGATTTTGAAAGAGAAATTGACAATACAGAGCACCACTTGGTTTCCGAACTTTAGTTATCCGAAACTTCCAGTTTCCCGATTGGGGTTGGGGAGTCATGCTACCCGAACAAAGTTCGGGTAGGAAGGGGTCCGCCAAGCGTCACGCCGGCTTGTGGTGGTGGGTGGGAGATGGTCCAGTTTGCCCACTGTGACTTCACAGATTCACGGCCTATTATTCCTATTATTTTGAATTGTCATAAGGCTGGAATGTTCATTCTGTGCTTTTGTTTTACATATCTGCACAATCAAGAAACATCTGTGCACCATGTTGGCTCCAAATGCACGCATTGCGTCAGTGGTGGGTGGATGGACGATGGAGCTTAGGTGGGAGGCAGTATGAATGAGGGGGGGGGGGGAGAATCAGTGAGAGAGGGGGGGAGGTAGGGAGAGATGTTAAGAGGTAGGGAGAGATGCTAAGAGGGAGGGGGAGGTAGGGAGAGATGCTAGGAGGTAGGCAGGAAGGGATGGAAGTAGTGAGAATTAGGGAGGGAAAGGCAGGCTGGCAGGCACAGGCAGGCAGGCTGGCAGGCACAGGCAGGCAGGCACAGGCAGGCAGACAGGCAGGCAGGCAGGCAGGCAGGCAGGCAGGCAGGGTAGCTTGCAGGCAGGCAGGGAGTGAGTGGTAGTCACGCGGTTGAACCGCGTGACCTTGTGTGTAATTACCTAAGTGTAATTACCTAAGTGTAGTTACAGGATGAGAGCTACGCTCGTGGTGTCCCGTCTTCCCAGCACTCTTTGTCATATAACGCTTTGAAACTACTGACGGTCTTGGCCTCCACCACCTTCTCACTTAACTTGTTCCAACCGTCTACCACTCTATTTGCGAAGGTGAATTTTCTTATATTTCTTCGGCATCTGTGTTTAGCTAGTTTAAATCTATGACCTCTTGTTCTTGAAATTC